AGGGGTCAGTTAAATCTAAAAGTTCATGCTATACGTACAACCAAAAAAAGATTTTGTATTTCTATAAGTGGGGTCAAATTATGGAATAATTTAAGTGTGGACATGAAGAACAGTACTAGAATTGAGGAGTTTAAATATAAATATAAATGTATGTGTCATTCAAAATATATGCAAGAATAAGAGATTTAACCAAGAATGCATGAAGGAAACACTCTGTTTTAAATTTTACTTGTCTGGTGAAGAAGAGAATTACCTATGTAGAGATACTGCTTGCAGCCAATGATGCATGAAATTTTTTGTATAAGATGATGTTATGGGGTAGGACTGGATAAGTCTGACTTCTTCCTACTCCATTCAAGCATGTACTAGGTATAAGCAAACTGATTCTGGGTTAGCATTGGTTGGATTTGTGTAATTATGTGTGTGTTGATGTCATTTGTTCTGCATGCTTGAAAGAATAAATCAAATCAAAATAAAAAAAAATCAAAAATTAGATGATTATTCCAGTCAGAATTCATTGGAGAGTCATTAAGTCCAGATTGCTCAAACTTATAATTTCTGCATTGCTGATGTTATGCTAAAGATGCAGCCACTCAGAATTGCTTTTCTCAGCTGAATGGCTTTCAGCTGGTGTGCAGATGGCATGCAGTTCCTCTCAGCCTTCCAGGAACCCTCGCTTCCCCTGTTGCTCGATAAGTCGTCTAGATTCCACAGTAAACATGCCCATTAAAGAGCTATTTCTTAATTTGCATGGTGTCACCATTAGAAGGCACTTTGTTCTCAAAAACCGACCTGGTGTCGGTAACGTGGTGGAGGGAATGATCCCGGTAGCTATGTTGTTGGCAAACAGGTCCTGGGTGACAGACCAGACAAAGGGCGGTTCTTAGGCCACCTATGATGAACAAATCAGGGCTTACGTTTACCCAGCCCTGTATGGGGTCACCGGGGCCCCACCCTGGAGCCAGGCCTGGGGGAGGGGCTCGTGTGCGTGTGCCTGGTGGCCAGGCCTATACCCACAGGGCCTGGTCGGGCTCAGTCCGAAACCACGTGGAGCCACTCTTTGGTGGGCCCGCCAGTGCATTGTGTTTTGGGCAGTGGCTGGGGCCGAGTGCCCGGCCAACCCAAACCTCGTACACCAACTCCGGTTCTTGGGACTTGAAATGTCACCTCACCGGTGGGGAAGGAGGCTGAGCTGCTGCAGGAGGTTGAGAGATGCTGTCTAGATATAGTTGGGCTTTTTATAGGTTTTTTTGTCATGTCCTTTCATCTGACCGGATGTCACCTTTTCCAGTCATTACCTTATTTGGCCTGCAAAGTCTTGTTTTTCAGAACTATTGCATATCTTTTACCGTCAAAGCTCAGTACACTGCCCATAACTGGCCTCCATCCCACTGTGATTCAGCATTATATACTTCTTTTTTGTTGAAAAATAAATTATTCTAATGGCTAATAAAAATACAAGAATCTCACATCTGATTGAAATACAAAAAAATCCCATCACATTTAACTAAGCCATCAGAATTACACAGTTACACTGAACTATCAATGCAATAAAATTAAAATATAGATCACTTGACCATCATTTTAACTTTTCATGCTTTCCTTTGAGAGTAACACTTCTCCATCCATCCATTTCTGGCTTGTTTGTTGTCTCCTTGGACTCTTCTTTCTTGAATAGTGGACATTCAAGTAGTTCTTGTAAATATTCTTGTTGTTCTGGTGGGACTTCTAATTGTAAAGAGACAGTCTGTTCAATGGTGCTCTGCAGCTCCTCCTGTAAGGTCATTTCTGACACCGGGTCATCAAAGGTCAGCACTGCTTCAGTGGCTTTTGTTTCCTGGTTTTCTCCGGGACCCTTGTGTACAGCTTCACTGACACAAAGTATGTATCATTATCCCTTGAAATAAGGTTAAAATAGTTTAAGCATACATTGAGTTTGTGTTAATTATGTATGTTTATATTGATCCAAAGTCAGTTTTACATTATATAAACCCTCGCAGTGTTCGTCCTGCTGCACAGGTCATTCCAAACAGTCCACATTCTTGTTTTGGGCCAGCGTTCTTATGCACACTTAAATATATGATGTGGGACTTTGACAGGTGGTTAAACCCACTGCATGCTGGGGCTTTAAAAGTTTTGTATACAGTATGTTGTAATTCAGGAATGAGTGTTTGAAAGTTGGATTTTGATTTTTCCCCCCCCCCCCCCCTTTTTTTTTTTTTTTTAGACAAGAGGCTCCATCCCTGTCTACTGGTCCCAGAGGCCCAATCTCAAATACAAGCCAAAACCACAGATCAGCAAAACAGTTAATCATGTAAGCCATCTTTACACTTCCATTAGACAAAATGAGTGTCTCTGTTGTTGTAAATTTATTTCTTTTCATTTTTATGTAGTTTTACTCTTCTCTGTTTATCACTTTAGTTGGATGGATTCCAGAGACACTTTGACTCCCAAATTATTCTCTATGGAAGACAAGTCATTTTGAACTTGGTAAGACAAAAAGGTGTAATTACCACATGTTGATTCTGTCACTAGTACTGCCTTAATTTTATGAAATCAATGTGCAGGCTTGATAATAATTTCACACTGTTTAATTCGTCACCATCATCCTTCATCCATGCTCTCCCTTCCTGCCTCAGGTTCACCTACTTATTAAATGTGCATTTGGCAAGAGCATCAGATATGTTGTAGACTACCTCAAGGATGAATGTTCTTTATTTTTCACATTTTCAGTAAAGAATTTGTTGAAAGTGAAGTTATTTGTTGAGTGTTTTTTTGTTAAATGTTTTATATTGATCAGCCAGGTTAGATAGCAGGCAAGTACTTACAGGTGACACATTTTGAAACATAAAACTTGTTTTTCTTTAATTTCTTATCCTTTTGCAATTATGAAACAATTTTGGTTATTTATAGCATAATTCCATGTCTTTTAATTGAAATAATCATCGAGTATGTATGTATTCATATATACAAGTAATTTACCACAGCTACAGTATAAGGTGCTAGAAAAGCTTGAAAATTGGCCTTGGCACAGGTGTATGAACCTTGTTTGTAACTGTAATCTGTCACAGCCACAATTCACTACTTTGAAATTTAAGTCTGTTTTATAATTGTCATTGCATGGAAAATTAATGAAAGGGCGTTGATGAGAGATAGCTGCTGAGCTCAAGAGGTCCTTGAGACTCACTTGACATTAAATCCATGGGAAAAAAATCATACAAAATAATGCAGAGAAGCAGCTTATGAGCCATGATAAATATTCTGCACATGTCACAATCAATCATGTTACAGGCATTACTGACAGCAGGTAATGTCACTCAGAGCACTGCACAGTCTGTGTGCTGCTGTCACTCCACTGCTGTATGATCCACATGCGCGCCTTCTTCCGGTGCTCCAAGCAGCAATTTTTAATTTCAAATTTTTGTTTTTAATTTTAACAACCTATTAGCCTACTGGTCTCATGGGCTAAGGGGGTTTATATGAAATGCACCAATTGAAATTAAAACACAAAATGAAATAGGATAAATATAACATTTTCAGCCATTTAGAGATAGGGGCGTGGCCCCTTGATGCTTAGGCGCTGCAGCACCTCTGCTACCCACGGTTATGTTTCTTAGATGAGAACAATGAATTCTTGTCCAATTTTTTCGCAGATCAACCAGAAAGGCTCAGAAAAGCCACTGGAGCTGGCATTTAACAAGATGGTGGCCAGCTTGGGTAATAGCATGATCAAGTAAGATTACTACCAATTCTGTCTTTTATTTTTCACAAGTGGCTGGTTTCCTTTTCAACTAAGTCCACTTCATAGTTGGTTGAGGTCATTGTATTTTTGGTAAATGTTTGCTTTTCTGCAGGTACATAGCATTTGACTTCCATAAGGAGTGCAGTCAGATGAGGTGGCACCGCCTCCAGATCTTACTGGACATGGTCACTGAAATGCAGGATGAATTTGGGTCAGTGTGCTTTTCACAGTGTCTGTGAGCCACAAGTACAACAGGCAGATAATTATGTTCTGTACGTCAGAATTAATGGTGTATATCTGGATTCAGATATTTCCTGGTGGATGCTAATGGGAAGGTGATGTTGAACCAGGAGGGGACGTTTCGGAGCAACTGCATGGACTGTCTGGACCGTACCAATGTCATCCAGAGCCTTCTGGCCCGACGCTCCCTACAGTCGCAGCTATGGGTAGGAGGATCCCATAATCACACAGGAGGTGGACAGACAAAAACACAAAACAACCCAACAGTGGCAATTTGTTCTCCAGAAACCGTGGCTGTGTTCAGCTTGAGTTCATGCCATTTACAATGGGAGTTATATTACTGTGTCCGCAGGGTCTTAAAAAGTATTAAAATGTAATAAAGCAAGCCTAATTAAGGCCATTAAAAGTATTAAAAAGTCTTGATCACTATTTAAGAGTGCCTATTTGCCTAAAGCGTTTATAAGCTAAACATTTGTGTATTTATTTTTTTATGTTGCATAGGTGTGTAGCTCGTGGAATGTTACACAGACCTTCGCCTGGTCGAATCCAGGCTAAATTTGCCGACATCCGAAAAGTTCAAACAATTGGCGTGCTCACTGGCCACTGACTACTGTCAGCATGGACTACACCTTAAATGGCATGCTGATTTTACAGAAACTCAAAAGTAATGGAGAAATGCAAGTCCTTGTACAACTGGTTGGAGAACAATGAATTTGAACCATGGCCCATCACTGGGAACAACCAGCAGGTGGTTGTTAGTGTGGAATAAGTTTTATCCTCGATGGGGATCAACGCTATCCAGTCCCATAAGCACAGTACTAGTCAAATCTGCTGTGAGTTCCAGACAGCAGTTTATCGCAACTTTTCTGAACTAAATTGGCTACACCAGCTACACCACTACCAGTACCACAGCTGAGGCTACTAATACGACAGTAACCGCTGCTTCTGCTGAGTCACGACGCGCACTATACCACCTCTGCGCACGGAGGTTCTGTGGTGCCTTGACACTATGGTAGGCTAGCAGTTGGCCCGAATGACTAGGTGGAAGTAGGCAGAGTACCTGGATGTAAACACACTCTAGTGTACAAACAGGATGCTTGCGTAGTGTTCAAGACTTGTAATGTTTTTCACTCATAGGTTCATGTTGTCATTTTGGTTAAGGACATTTGAACAGCACAAAATAGTTTTACTGTAGTATAATTTTATTTAACCTTCATCCTACCAACATTTCTCAAAACATTAGTTCTGTAGGTTATATTATTGTCACCTGAAAAAAGATGATCTTAACTTGTGTCCAACGCCCTCAGGAAGAGACACAAAGAAAAAATACATCTTGGTGCAAATTTGAAACCACTAGAACCCAAATCAGCTGAATTGAGGTAAATTCCATGAATCTTGATGATAATAATAATTGTAAAATAATAATTTTGGTATTTGCAAGGAGGAATCCCCCTACAACTCAGCGTTTAATTCATACAGTCTACTACTATTATGCAAGTTCAAAGTTTATACATATTCATACATATACATAGTAAAACTACAAGTTTTGAAATTAATACATTTGTAAGACTGTGTGTGCAGCTTTATCAGTTGTAACTGTATAGACCTAGGAGAGTCCTAATGGCTGAGTTGCAGTCCCACCTTCCCAGTAGCATGCTGACAATGTGAGTCCTAAAGTTCTGTGAGGAAATGTTGTATGGCATGCAAAGACCACAGAGAGTGAGCACGAGTGAGCATGTTACTGTTTTTACTTTTGATAAACCTTGCCTTTGGGTTAATCATTCACTTTATTCTCTTGAGCTTTTGTCCCTCCTGGCCCGTCTGAATTCCATTGTATTGATACAGTGGTCAATAAAAGGTATCACAAACTAAGACTCTTTAGTTTTGCAATCTCAAAATCAGTGCATGGTGAATAAAAGTTAAAGTATGTTGCTGACATAACCGGTTAAAATTTGAAATGCATTGATGTCTTAAAATTTATTGCAAAGGTCTTGAAAAAGGTCTTCAAAGGTATTGAATTTAACTTCATGATTCCTGCATATACCATCTATATAAAATGTAAAAATATAAACAGTTCAGACTTCTGCAGCCTAATCGACCTATTTACATTTAGTATTACTCAATGTGGATATTAATTGGTCCATCATAATTAAAAATGTTAGGAATGCCTGGCTCTCACTTGATCGAGGAACTGATTCGTTTTTATGCTGGATTAAGAATGGAACATTTCATAGAGACTTGACATTTTCAGTTTAATTGGCTAGGTTTTGAAATCAGTCAGGTTTTCCTTTGAAGATTTATTGTGTTAAATTTTCTGTTTATTAGGGCTGAAGCACATTATTTGTCTGTTTGCGTATTCATTCTTTGAGCAGGTAGTCGGTTTCAATTTGAATAATGGAAAAAAGCAGGGAATTTCACTGTAGTCTGTCAGATAATGAAGAGGAAAGAACCTCCAAGTAGGCCTATGTATTACACTGATAGACTGACCAGATATTCTAAATCTAAATGTTACTGTCTTGCCTGCAAGGTTCCTGATCAATAAACCATAAATGTGCTGGAGAAATGTCTAAATATGGCCATATTCACCACTCTGCTGCTCTTGTTCTGTCTCCTAGATTTCACTGCTGCTTTTCAATCAGTGTTAAACTACTGTCAGTGAAACTCCACATTTTCCACAGTTGTTTTACATATAAAACTTACCTGGAAAGGCAGTGATTGAGCTGCTCAAGGACTTTGTGAGCTTTTTAGTAACTCTTGAGTTATATTGAAAACAGTCAATCAAAAAAAACAAACAAACAGCTGAATAGAAATGAATGGAAAAAAGAGTGGAGGAAAACTGTGATAAAAAAAACTGAGCAAAATGGCAAGTATGAAATTACTCTGACTGAACTGTTAGTTAGTTCAGTTAGTTTAGAAATGACCTTACAGGAGGAGCTGAAGAGTTGGTGCTGAGGATTTGGATATTATACTTAATCAAGTTATCGGGTAAACATGGAGGAACTGTTGAGTTTGCATTAACAGCAAATCAAAACAGGAGTGGATAAGAGAATACAAAGGCTTCTTATTAAAATGTCAAAAACATGTATACTGAACATGTATAAATTCTTATGTAGCTTTTAGCTTTACAGTCTGTGACGAATGAGTCAAAGGGTTCATTTTGGACTCACCTTTCAAGTTAAGTGTGTGTGTGTGTGTGTGTGTGTGTGTGTGTGTGTGTGTGTGTGTGTGTATGTGCCTGCAGAGAATGGGCGTCCTACACATGGGCCAGCAGACTGAAGAACAGGCAGAGTTTGAGAAGATGTACAAAAATGGTGGGCGATTCATCTCACAACAGTGGCCTTTGTAGTTCCTTTGGAACTAATCACCTGGCACACATACATTTATGGTCTTAGGTGATGATATGACCTGTTTCCTTCAATTTTCATTCTCTTATTTTGTGTTCTGTCTTCTTCCCTGTGTGTTCAAATGCAGCTTGGGCAGACAATGCTGATGCCTGTGCCAAGCAGTATGCTGGCACTGCTGCCTTGAAGACCGACTATACCAGGTCAGTTTTCACATAGTAAACAGCTAACATCCAGCTAAACACAAGCTAAATCAATAGCATGTAGGGGGTTGGAGTATACAGACATCATATTTGTACATTCATTCATGGCAGGTTTAATATATGGATAGAGTTGAATATTCAGGCTGACCATATATGAATGAACAGAATGGACAACCAGAATGGTGAAGACTAAGGCTCTTGGTAAATGCATCACAAAAGTGGGCTCATGTGACAACATTACTTTCTACCTACACACACACACACAAACATTGAAAGAAGGGGTATAACACGGGGCCTGTCAGATTCCTTAGATTAATGAGCAGACAGGAGAAGCCATCTGGAACAGGTTTGGGGCCCCTACCCTTTGCTCCCCATGTTTATTTTGGCTACATGTGCTTCACATCAGCAGGTAGGGTCAGACTGAGGAAATTACCCTCAGAGTCAAGTACATACATGGATAAGATCCATACATAGCCAATATAAGAGTGTATCAAAACTATATGGTGAGTCATTTCCCGTATGGCGGATGTGATGGTCGCATGTGTGCCTGGAGCTCCTGTGTTTGCCAAGGTTCAATTAAAACCTGAGGTGTATAAAACAACTGACAGTAAAGTTATAGTAGAGGAAGAATTTTTGCATTTCCTCTCTGTTAAACTAAGGACCTTAAGTCAGGATGAGATTGTCTTGTTGGTAGTCAACACCTTTGACACTGAGTGGATTGAGGCTTTGAAAATGCTTTTTGAAGTATGTGTCACTACCCAGCGTAACATCTTGCATAAGGGATTGCATAAAGACATTAACAACGTTAAGGCTTGCCTTAAAGTTTTGAATGAGTGTGGGGAGGACACCCCCAGATTTGTCATATTATCTAGATGAACTGCCACCTGTGACTTTTACTAATATGGATGTTTGTGGCTTGCTTCATAAAATGGAGCATCTTCAGGCCAAAATCACTGCTATGAAGCAAGTGGCTCACCTGCAAGCTGAAGCTAGCGGTAGCGGCGGTCTGCGGGCTGTTGCGGCGGATACGATCAAGCGGGTCAGTGCATTGGAATTGCGCGCCGTTCATGGCGGTGTGTTGTCAGTCCCAACGGAGGCCAACCACGTTATCCCTTTGGCTGGTGAGCAGTCAGAGGTGATGGATCAGGTGCCGCCTACGGGGGATAGGGCTACTTCACTGGAATGCTCTGGAGAAACAATGCTGCCCGGTTCCTCTATGTGGAGCTTGGTGGCTAAAAGGGGTCAACGGCAGTTAAAGAAGCCGGCTGGTGTTAGGCCTGTGCCTCATGTAGGTATAACCTTAGCCGGTCAGAGGAAAGCTGGCAAATCTGTTGTGGGTACCGGAGCAGCTGGAACTATCAAGACAATTAAGACTAAGCTGGTCAGTGCCTTTGCAACAAAATTCTCACCAGATTTGGAAGCCAAAGTTTTTACGTACCTATTTGAAAGAAAAACTTGGGCATGATGTCATGTGTCATAAAATTGTTTCAGGAAACACTAGGTTTGTTTCTTTTAAAGTGTCTGCTGAATGTAACAAAGTTGATGACGTATAATCCAGAGCTATGGCCTGGGGGTACATTTGTGAGGCGTTATTTTGCAGCACGTAAATTTGCTGGTGGTACTCATGCTGCTCACTCTACCCGAGCAATGCCATCTCCTGGAGCAGATGCCAGCTCTAGCTAATTGTTATGGATCTTAAAGTAATCTCATATAACTGTCGTGGCCTACATTTAGGTCATAATGTGGAGGATAAAGTTCGCCGCACTGTGGTTGAATAGCTGCTGGAACAATGTGATATTCTATGTTTACAAGAGACTTTTCTTGTCAAGCAGGATTTATGTGGACTCAACTCCGTGGACGATAATTTCCTCAGTGCTGGAGAGTCTACTACTGACTTTGGGCTCGGTATTAAGCGTGGACGAATTCCTGGTGGCGGGGTCTAAGAGGTTGGACCCAGTGGTTAGTGTGGTTAGGCTTGATGAGGACTGGTGTATTGCAATATGCCTGACTCTGGATAACAAGGAGCTGTGTTTTTAAAACGTCTGTGTTCCTTATGAATCTAACCAAAACGAAGAGGAGTACTTGAACAAGCTTGCTTTTATTAGTTCTTTTATACATAGCGACAGGTATACCAGCGTATATATTGTGGGTGATATGAATGCAAATATATCAGATAAGAATTCTGTTTTTGCAAAGCATATGTTGCACTTTTGTTCCGATAATAATTTGCACTGCATTTCTACAGCTGATGCACATGCTGCTTTGGCAGATATAGACATACTATACAACATGTCCTTTTCTGATCATATTCCCGTAAAGATGACTGTGAGACTTGATTTTATACCTATTTTAACTCACTCTAATCATAAACATAGAGATTTGGACTGGTCCATTCTTTCTCCTGATGATCTTGCCAGCTTTCGTAATCTCACTGATAAGCTGTTACGTGATATTACGTTACCTAGAGAGGCCATTATGTGTAGAGATCCTAATTGCACAGATGTTAATCACAAGTCAGATATTTCTTTTATGTATTCTAATACATGCTTCCTAAAGGGGGATTTGTTGGGTTTTCCCTATGTAATAATAGTGATAACAGTAAGGTCTAGACCTTACTTTGTAAAGTGTCCTGAGATGACTTTTGTTGTGATTTGGTGCTATACAAATAAAATTTGATTTGATTTGATTTTGATTTAAAATTTTCCGGGCGCTGTTGGAAGTGAGTATGCCTTATCACAAAGGTAAAGTGAAGCGCAAAATTATGCCTGGTTGGAGCACCTATGTGGCCGAATTTAAGGCTAAAGACGGGAGGCTACAACTTCCTGGGCTCTTGCGGGTAAACCCAGATATGCCCAGATATGGGCCTATATTTGAGTTTAAAAAGCGTGCAACTGCAAAATATAAATATGCCATACGGTTCATTTTGAAAAATGAACATAAGATGAGGTCAGACTCTATGGTGAAAAAATAATATGAAATCATTTTGGAAAGATGTCAAATATATTAATAACAGTAGATCCTCCTTACCCCATACTATTGATGGAATTTCTGATCCTGATAAGATAGCTGAGTTTTGGCGGCGTCATTATTGCGAGTTATTTAATTGTATTCCGAGGGAAACTTTTTCGGTGAGTAGGTTGACTTTGTTGAATCTTTTAAAACCAATGAAGTTTCCCAAGCATTATGTAATTTGTCTGAAAATAAGGCTACTGGGCTGGACCGCATTTCTGTTGAACATTAAGTACGCTAGTCTCAGGTTGTCCCCTCTTCTAGCCATATGCTTTATTGCCTCTGTTATGCACGGGTTTCTGCCTGACTCTTTGATGTCAGTACTTTTAGTTCCTATGGTGAAGGATAAAGCAGGGAAGGTGGGCAGCTCAGATAATTGTCGACCTATTGCACTCACTAATATTCTTTCAAAAGTTGCTGAAGAACTTCTTTTAAGTAGGTTTCACAATCTTATTAGCTCCACTGCAAACCAATTTGGGTTTAAAACTAACCATGGCACTGATATGTGTATATTTGCGCTAAAGGAATTAGTCAGCAAATATAAAAGTAAAAACTCTACTGTATTCATGTGCTTTTTAGACACCTCTAAGGCTTTTGACCGAGTGAATCATAGGAAATTATTCCAGAAACTGTGTGACGCCCGATTGCCTAAATATATAGTGAGATGCTTGTCATATTGGTATGCCCACCAGACTGTGTTTGTTAGATGGGATAATTGTATCTCTGCACCCTTTCAGACCTGTAATGGGGTAAGACAAGGTAGTCTGCTCTTCTCAATCTTGTTTAATTTTTACATGAATGATCTCTCTAAAGAGTTAAATATGTGCAGAACGGGATGTATGGTCGATGGTGTAGTTGTATTTGTAAATCATTTAATGTATGCATAGTACCTTGTGATCTCTAGTTTCAGTGCAGCAGGTCTTCAGAAGCTCTTGAACGTGTGTTCAGTATTTGGGGAACGTCACGATGTCAAGTATAATGCTGTCATAAGTGTTATGATATGCTGTACAAACGAGGACAGGTCCCTTGTATTCCCTTCTTTTAAGTTATCCGGTAATATTTTAACTGTATGCAACAAAGTTAAGTACTTGGGTTATGTCATCAATGATCGTTTGTCTGATGACAGGTATATATATATCGTCAGTGCCATATGTTGTATGTACAAGCTAATGTACTGGCACGGAAATTTGGTTCATGCTCGGTTGGAGTAAAATTGGCTTTGTTTAAAACTTATTGTACCTCCTTGTACACTGCCCATCTGTGGTGTAATTATAAAAAGGGCAGTCTTCAGAAACTGTCAGTGGCTTATAATGACGCCCTAAGGCTGTTATTGAAAAAGCCTTGATGGACAAGCGCTAGCGAACTGTTCGTGTCATTTTGAATTAGTACATTTCCCGCTGTTTTACGAAATTTGATGTATAAATGTATCTGTTGCTTGAATGATTCTGGAAATCATATTATATTGTTGGCTAATGTTGCTTACAGTGATGTGTTTTACTTCTGCTCTCTGGAAACACTGGCATACCTGCCTTTTAAAGGGATAGTAGTTTATGGTTGTTATCCTGTTCTCGTTTTTATTTTATTTTTATTGTTTCTTTTAATTGTTCTTTTATTGTCTATTTGTTTTAATTTGGACCTTGAGTCTATAATAAAGTGTCATTCATTCATTATATCAGATGATTGAGAGTGATTACAAAACCACCTGACAAAATATTAGGAAGAGAGTGGTGGTAGAGGCTTTGGCAGTGCCAGTCCTGCAGTTCTACTGGAATCTTGGTGCCAGTGTTTGACAGCTCAGCGCACTTGTTTCCCAACCTTCTGATCGGGGACCGAGGGTGGTGATGGTAAAGTTGATGAAAGAGAAGGATAAGGCACACATATTGACACAAGCAAAGAAGCTTAAAGGATCTAATATTTATATAAATGAAGATTACACCGAGTCTGTAAGGAAGAGAAGAAGGGAGTTGATGAGGATGTTAAGGGAGGCCAGG